AGATCTGAGAAGAAAAAGATCCAATTCTGAATGTTGAGATTTCTGGTCCTGATGAAATATGAGTTGACAACAAAACTTGATGTCTTTAACGTACTGATCTGATCAAAAACTATGGAGGGAAGGCAATTTTAATTCCAAACAAACACTACAGAGTGTGTTTTAGTGAGTGGGATTTAACACGTTTGTAGGAACATGCACTGATTTGTTGTTTGTGTATTATTCCTCCAAGCCACAGGAAATATGTTGTCAGGTATCACAGGTGTTGCTAATTTGGGAGGAGAAGCAAACAGTTAACGGTGTTTGTATAACGCTGTGATAAGTGATGAGTTATTTGTATTAATTTTGTGTTAACTTATTGAATGTGAATGAGAAAATAAACTCCATATTGATTGGATATTGAATAAGAGAAATGCACATTTGCTAAGAAACAAAGGAAACTGCTGCCAGAAACGTAAAGTGCATCACTTCCTGTGAGTCAGAGGGACTTTTAACGGAAAAGATCTAACACACAAAATGTGTAAAAGCTTTCAGAATTTTTGAATAGATTAAATCATTAGAGTTAAATCAGTTAAAGACAGCAGAAAACTGACATTTGTTTATATGAGAATTGTACAAATTATTAGGAAAATAAATGTAATTTATATTTAAAGAAGCAAATACACTCCTGCTTATCATACAGGGACAAACTAAATTGAAGAAAAAAAACATATAAAATGCATTGTTATCTGTTTTTTCGCATGTCCACAGAAAGAATAACTTCTAGAGCGGGACTTGAAGCCTTAAAACTAATCCCCAAAATGGCAGTAAGAAAGGTACACAGTTAAATTTCAATGTGCCTGAAAAAAGCTTCCCGACCTTGGCTGCAGTCAGCTGGTGTCCCAGCAGCACGTACGTGACGAAGGTGAGGATGGAGATGACCACAGGCAGAGCAGCCCAGGTGTAAACACACATGGCATCCAGGTACTTGATGGCCTTGAGGTGGGACAGCTCTTGTTTACGACAGTCGGCGACCTTCTGAGTAAAATGAGGCTCCCAGTTGTAGAACTTGATGACGCGAATACCAAACAGGATCTCTGTCATTAACTGGAAGAGAAAAGTCACAAACTTAAGAGAATAATCAAAACTCAACTTTGTTTTTGGGCAAATGTAAATATATGCATGAATCTTGCACTGGAAAAAAACAATAGGATTTATTAGTTGCAGTCTTAATTAAATTAACTCCCCTGTCAATTAATTTAATTAACTATAAATAAATATAAAATTATTTTACAGCATCCTCACCTTCACACGACTGTCCTTGCACCTGAGCATCTGTTTGTTGTTGCTAAGGATACGGGAAGCGAGGAACTTGTTGAAGGGCACCAGCAGCAGCGCCACGCCCAGCCCTCCGAGAAAAGCCACGCCCACCTGCAGGTACAGCAGGTAGAGGGTGATAATAAACCGGAAGGGCATGCTCCAAAGCTCGTGGAAACTGTTGAAGAAGTTGCCCACGCGGTCGCTGTCGGTGCTCATCAAGTTCACCACCTCTCCCAGCGTGAAGCCGGCCAGGCTGCTGCCGCTGACCTGCAGGGCTTTGCCGTAGATGGCCGACACAAGAGCGGCGCGTGCTGACAGAGCCACCTTGGAGACCTCGAAGACAAAGATGTTTCGGAGGACGGAAGAGAGAAGCGTGGTGGCGAAGAGCCCCAGAGCGCACCAGACACCTGTGCTGACTGGAGCTCCCTCTTCCTCCATGAAGTTCACCAGGCTGCTGAGGAGCAGGGGACCAGCGAAGCTCAGCATGTTGACCACCACCTTCAGCACACCGAGGATGTAGTACCGCAACCCAAACGCCTTGTGCAGCACCCTCAGCAGCCCTACATCGCCCTGCAGCTCCAGTGGTTCCTCCTGGTAGTGTGAACTCCAGCTGCCACTCAGGAGGTTTCTGCTGACCGGTCTGGGCCACTGATCCTGGCCGTTACCGACTGCTGCGCCTCGTCGGCAGGCTTCCCAGCACTGGTGGAAGTATCGACAAACAACGCTAGTCCGAAGTTTCCGAGGGAGGTGATAAACATCAGCCGGTCTGTTCAGCTCCCCTCGCTGCCCTCGTCTGAGGAGAGGGCTCAACCACAGGTAGAAGAGCCGAGAGACGCAGCCGCTCTCGTCCTCAGCCACCATCTCACCCGTATCCGGCTGGGTGCTCTCTGAGATGAGTGGGGATCCGTCCACTGCGTTGATATACAAACTATATCCAACATCAGTGATGCAGGGAAAGGCAAACGCCAGAAGATAAACCAGAAGAGGGAGCGTTCGGGCTGAGGCTAGCACAAAACGGGAAAATTTAAGAGGCTCTGTGAAGTTCATATATTCCTGCGTGTCACAGTAAATCACCAAGGTGACGACCACGTTCGGTACGGACAGAAGGACCAGCAGGAGCAGCAGTGGAGGTCCTCTGGTTCTCCTGTAAGCAGTCCTCTGGAGTACCGTGATGGCACTGAAGTGGACCATCCAGGCCAGGATGGCACAGCTATCAGCTAGGACCTCCAGGTACACGTCTGCCTGCTGGAGGAGGCTCACCAGGATGACATCCGCAGTGAAGATCAGCGCCGCCAGCAGAGCCGACACCAACCTGAGCGTCCACCCACAGGGAGGAGACGTCCGGAGGAGGCTGCATCTACACAGCAGAAACATTCTTACTCAGAATACAACAGATCCATATTAAATGTCAGTGCCTATTTCCATTTGTGGCCAATACCAACAGATAACTTTACCACTGCAAATCGCCTTAATAATTAATAATCTTCTCCTTTAACGCAGGATAATATATATCGTCCATCAATACACTGCAGACATCAGAGGACAGTCTGATAGGTGTCACCTACCTGGCCATGCCGAGGTAGCAGGCACTGAAAATGGCCATCCCTGCATGAGGAAGAGCTCCGAGGACGAGTTGGTTAAAACAGGTGCCGACGTGTCCATTCTGCCACACGGGGAAAGGGTTCTGCTCGTCTGTATGACAGAGGCCTGAGAGCAGCTCTGCTGGCCCAAAGTCCCACATCCCTCCTCCTATTTGACTGCTGTCATTCTAGAAAATATCTGAAGAGCAAAAGACAATATGAATGACTAACTGTAAGGGCGGAGAGGACCGTTAGAGACCGATTACAGAGACTCCGGGATTATAAAAACAGCCAGATCTGCCTGACCTGTGTGTGTGTCTGCCTTAGAAGCCAAGATGTGTGAATTTTAAATATGTTGAGGGGCTTTTTATTCTTTAGGAGAGCTGCAGCGTGACGTGAAAGAGGGGGGGAAACAGCGAGGGGGTTAACACAAAGCAAACAGCCACAGGTCAGACTCAAACCCACGGCTGGTACGTGGGACGCCAGCTCTACCAGAGGAGCTACCAGGGAGTCCCCAAAGGTTTGTGTCTGATCAGACTCTAAATCATAACTTCATTTTAGTTTTATTCAACTTTAAACCCGGCTGAATTACAACAACTTGGTATGTTTTGTTCAATATAAAGAGGGTTTCTTGGGGAATGTGTGGCAGTGAAGTAAGTGTTGTTTTGGTATTAGAAGGACCCTGTTCAGCAGTTTCTTCACTAGTTTCAGAGTTTATCACCTAAAAGTGCTTGAAAACACCTGAAACTCCTGAAGTGAACACAAAGAGAAACCTTACACAATAACAGGGATGTTTGCACTGAAGCAACCTGACAAACATACTTCATGTAGCTCTGATGTGTAACCCCTCAAAGGAACATGGAGACAGAAGAGCTTCTGAGCAACCAGCTGCACTTACTAATGTAAACAAACGAGGCTAGCTCACTAGCTTAGCTTCACTCTTCGGCTCGTTTAAACGTCACTGCCATGCAAACACAGATATATTATTACATAGATATATCAATGAACCTGTAACCGCGCTAACTGTCACACAACGACACCATTAATGTTTTATAATTAAGATTAGAAACCTTCAAATGTTGCAGGCTGTCATCCAGCTAGCAGCAAACGCCTCTGCCGCTTCCTGGTGACGCACGCCGCAAGCTTTTCAAAATAAATGTCTCATGTTGTTCATGTTTTTGTCTACAAAATAAAATAACGCAATGCGATACGTTTTAGTGTTTGTTTCATTTTTAATTATTGTTACATTTAATTTAAAAGTTTTAATTTGTTTATTTTTTGGGGGCAATAACTTAATCCACCGCTTAAGTGCAATAATTTAATTTAAATGCTAATTTCTGCTGATGTAATTTATCCGCTGTATAAAACACAATGCCATATACAGTCCTATATATATTTATCTTTATTTATCTATATTTATCCTCTATACAGGTCTCTACATTTATCTTATTTTATTTTACTTGAATTTTATTTTACTTTTACTTTCTATATTTAGCTAAGAGTTTATTGTTTATCTTATATTGTATTTTTTTTAATACCTCTTTTATTTTCTATACAAGTATTTTGTAAGCTGCTGGAAATCCAATTTCCTTGAGGGAGTCACCCGAAAGGGATCAATAAAGAGAAGTCTAGGTCTAAAGTACCTTTCAAGAGCTGAAAAGGTTCGATTAACATAAAAAATAAAAATGTAAAATGTGCACTTATGTTAACGATTACGATGTTGCCACATTAAAAATCCTTTAATTATTAATGTTACTACATTTAAAAACTAAAATGATTTCTGTTGAACAGTAATTGTCATAATTCATTCCATAAGGGTGTGACTGCGTTGAAATATATCTATATAATATTTGTGATTAAATGTTAAATTCTCTCGTTTTTTAGCTTTATATTTTCTAATTTATTTTAATGTCAGACATTGGATGCCTGTCCCCATCTTGATGAAGTTGGTGGACTGTTTAAACAACACGGACAATGATGGAATTGATTCTGATAAAAGTAATATTTTTACAAAAGGAACAGAAAGAATAAGGTCTAAATTATGCAACTACTTAAACACTACAGGTGTTTTTATCTATAATTGACTCCAAGGTGGGAGTAGGAATAAAAATAAAACAAGCAGCAAGCAGTTGGAGATCTTTATTTGAGGGGGTGACGTGTAGAAAAGGAGCAAACTTTATGTTTTAGCACCTTTATACAAGTTATAAAATAAATTGCTGGTTCTCTGGGTTCTCCTGATGAACACAAACAGTTGGCCGCAGAACATTAACTGACATTATAGGCTTGGAGAAGGAGAAGCATTTAATTCACAGAAACCAAGCAACAGAAATGTCTTAATTTGGAAAATCTCATTATATTTAATTACAATCAAGATTAAATTTACAAATTTTTTTGGAACCTGGGATTTTAAATCAGTGCACATTACATTAGCATGTAACATAAGTTAAAAACATAAAGGAACTTCACAAATGTTGTTACCTGGAATTAGACAAAAAAAAAACCATCTTTAAATACTGGGTGCAGCTGTCTAAGGCATCTTTAATTCAATAGAAAAAAGATCTAGAAGTCTTATACAAAGCAGGAATGAAGCTATACAATGTCACATTATATTTTATTCCTTACACACTGTACAAAGTCCACTTCCTTCAAGGGCTGGCCACGCCAACCACAACACTAGGCAGCTTTAACTTTTGTTTTCTAATATCCTACATTTACCGTGTCTACCAGACACACACTGTATTTACATATTCAGACATGAAATACAAACATAAATATGAACAGGCTCTGTCTATCCATCCAAATGGCATCGCTTGTCTTCAGACACATTCTGGAAAAAAATACACCAAATATTGGCCACCTAAGCTTTACGTTATCTGTCGCCCCTGTGAAGCACTTCGAGGAAAAAATGGTTCAAAGCGCTTTTTAAAAAAAATAATAATTAAGAATTAAAAATCGGACTTTAGCTTTTTGGTCAAATTTCTCTGTTTGTGTTCAGAGAAGAAGTTGCTGTTGGATCATTTTTAGCAAAGGCAGCACCATCCATTAAACATGTATGTCACAGTATTAACACACACCACAGTGAAAACTCAACACAGAGGTGGAGAAGCTACCTGCTGTCTGATGGCTAATTTGACCAAAAAGCTTATTTTGACAATACATCGGTGTATTTCTTAAATGAAAGGAACTCCCACAGAAGGTCAGTACATCTTCATTATATCAAAAAAAAAAAAAAACGATATGAGCAACAACATGTTTCCTGTAAAGCAAAAAAGATATTTAAGTAACTTGTGTGAATACTGTACATTAGGCCTAATGCTGGTCATCTGTATATCAACAAAAACTTCTCAAGTGTTAGTTAAGAATTAAAGCTATCACATAGCTGGCAAAATTCATGTACAAAGTAACTGATCGAAGGCCTGAGAAAGGTTTGTTTTCTTCATCTCGAGACGTGATTGTCAAGTCAGGCCAAATACTTGGAAATCTGATCATATATACAGCAATGCATAGGCTACAAATCATCAAATCAAAATTATACTGTAAGTAAAGCAGAATAGCAGAGTTACCCTGGAATTTAGTTATTATTTATTAGTACACAAAGTGTAAGTAGGGGCTGGGTATCGTTTGGTACAAGTACCAAACTTGTACTTTCTTTGAAGTATAAACATGGTTTTTCTAAAATATACACCATAATCTAAACTTAAACCTCTCAACTACAAAACAAAAAAAACATTTTGGTTAACAAAAGAAGTTTTAGTTAAAATGAAATATGGTCTAAAAACATACAGCCATTTGAGAACTTTAACCTTTAACAGAAAAATGTCTAAAACTCAGAAATCTAAAAATCAGGAACTATGTGATAAAACAACAAGTACCAGTCAGGACCAAAAAAGTACTGAAGTTCGATACCCAGCCCGAGACGTGAGCGTACCTTTCGTGGTATCCAAGAGGGATAACCAACTGTGTAGCAACCTGGTTTGGTTCTCAGAGTGAAAAGAGGGGTGTGAGTGGGTTTATCACCAGGGTGATCGACTCCTCTTATTACTAATATATCAATGAATTAAATCCTTAGCACCTGGAGACTCAGGAGAACTCTCTGACCTTATTTACTTTGGTCTTATTTACTTAAACTCTTGGTTTGTTGTTTGTTGTCATATAAGCCCAATCGTCCCTTAGATAGCACAGGAAATGAAAGCCTTCTCCAGAAAGTTTTTCTCTAAAGATAAGAAGATTTGTTTCGGTAGTATACACAGATTCATATGTGAAATCATCATTATTGTCGAACCTCAACAGAAAAAAAACAAAACCTGGATCTCTTGAATTATAAAACTGTCTTAAACTCCCATTTTTTGGATTTTTAAGTGACTTAACAGTATTTCCACGCCAGCATAAACGAACACTTCCGTCAGGTCTTTGAATCATCTGAGATGTTACCAACATCTTCCTCCTTGCAGCTGATGGATGTAACATCCTGCTTCACCGTGATCAACTCACAGCCGTTTGATATGACCGATCACAACATACTGCTGACGGTCCACATGGTGTTCCACAGGGATCAATCCTGGGTCCTCTATTATTCTCCAATTATATGTTTGCAGTTTGTGACATTAGACCTAATCAGTTATTTTAACTAGTGTGAGCTTTAGATGTACCTCTGAAAACAGGAGACTCGACTTCAAAAGCCTCACTGACGGCCTTGAAGAATGTCCAGATTTCCTTAATGTTGATAGAAACTGTCCCGATAATGTTGTCCCTGCCCACAAAACTCTACCAACCAGACACAAGACGATATCTGAAAACTTGCTAAGCTTTACGAAGTCTGACTGAGTGAAATCCAAATCAAAGATCTTCTTTCTCTTCTCACTTTAAGCAAACTCAAATAAGTTGTTGAAATGGATGAGTCTACATTTTTTTAAGTTAAAGAAACATTGCTGATAAAGTACTGTTACTTACTGTACTAGGTTGTTTTTTTTTCACAGTACAAATAAAAAATTGAGTTACTTTTACTTAAAATTTCCGATATAATCAGTTTCAATACTTTTCTTCAGTTAAATTAACTTATCTGGTTTTACAATGAAGAAAATGTCTTTTTTTTACCTCCATCTCGTTGCATTTGGACGGCTGTAAGTATATTTTCCGGCAGGAGTCGAGATCCTCACCAAACGATTTAAATTTCAGCAGCAATTTTTGCAAAGTTATTTAAAAAATTTTATGAGAACCTTTAAGGCACAGTGACTTCTGGCCCCGAACTGCATAATAACCTCCTTCCAGGCCTCTTGTGTTCTCAGGTCTTGTCATCTAAGTGACTGCATTTAAAGCTCTGCTGGAAGAGCTCAGCCCGATCAGTCACCCTCAAAGCAAACTGTGTGCACGTGATAAAATGTTGTTTTTACATCCTCTTTATGTTTGTGATGTAAAAGTTTAGGCCTTTAACTTTGAGTCTTATTTGAGTCAGCTTCCGTTTTATTCTACATACCTACTTTGTAAATCAATCTGTAACAATTGTATGGAAAAATGTTATAAATAGTTTATTATCATTATTAATATTATGTTTAATAGTATGCATATACACACTTTAAAAATAGCCGGTGTAAACTTCTAAAGGTTTTCAAAAGTCGTGTAAGGGGAGTTTTTAATGTAATGGTCCCCAGCTTCTTCTTTTTGGGGTGTACATGTTTTCACTCAGCAGAGACTTCCTGCTGAAACATCAACAGCTTAAAACTAAATTACCATTCCTCCGAGGTAAAACAAATTTCTGTTTACAAAACATGGTGTTGAATTTTTTCCTGTTTTGACGGCAAATTTGTGGGAGCTTGCTGTGGAACATCCGCAACGTACTAATCAAATTTATAAAAAACAAGCAGGATTTGGGGAGAAGAAAAAACAAAAGAGAGGGAAGCTGGAGTCCTGTGGTCTTGGTGTTGGCGTATATTTCTGTGTACATTCTTCCCCCAGAGCAGTTCATAAATAAGCAAGCAGAGTTAAGCGTCTGCGTCTGAATCCTCGCCATCTTACGCATTCAGTCAGAGCTGGTACCGCTCAGACCGAAGAAGAAAACAAAGATAAACTATTATCAATTAATTTCCACCAGGAAGGGTTTTCTTTGTACACCACGCTACAGTGTCCGAGAGCAGTGAGAGGGGATTATAGGGACTTTTTTTTTGGGAGTATTTCCCACAATAGGATAAGTCACAGACACTCCCTTGGTATCGTCTCCTCTGCCCCCTCCTTCCTCTAATACAGTCTGTAGTTTCAGAGAGTTTGTCTGTGGATACACTCAGTATACAGGCAGCTCACAGGTTCTTGGTGTTTATGTGAGTCTTGTAATGCTTCGTCAGGTGGTCACTCCTCATGAAGCGTTTCTGACACTGGTTGCACTCGAAGCGCTTGTCTCCTGTGGGGAGGGGGGAAACAGAACGACAGCGATAAATCAATATTTTCATTCATATACTTGCTGATAGTGCAGTATAGTACAGCATTTAGTACAACAGTAGAACATTTGAGAAATATCTCTTCAAATACTTTCAGTATTTTATGTCAGTTCATAATGTTCATACAGATATTTTAAAATATAATTTTTATTACTGTTAAAATTTTATAAAGCTCATCTGTTTATTTTTAAGTTCTGTTTTTACAACATTGCAGTTTACATTCTGTGCACACGACTGCATTAAAATAGATTATATTCATATATCAGAAACCTCAGTAAATGCTCAGATGTTTAAACCAAATGCCTTCTTCATTGCACATGCACACGGAGCTGTATCTCTTATCACTGATCTGATTTTATTTACTGACCCTCCATAATAATCTCTGCTGATAGTATCACATGATTACTTACTCTATCTTGTCTTTTTTCATATTTACAGCCCAGCAGACGCTGCTGTGAGTAGCCTGACTGGAAACATTTAATAAGATGATAATGAATGTCTGCGTTTTCTACTTTTAGTGAGAGGGATATCTGAACTTTACTACTCAAAATTTCTAATATGTGACCTCAGTAAGCTTATCAGTGATAGATTAACTAGTTTTCTTTCTTTTGTTCTTTCACTTCGGATTTGATTAAGTGGTTAACACCACCACAATCTTGTAGCTTTTATCTCACCCACTCTTATTCATGAGGTATCCTTCTTTCGGTTGAGCCATTGTGTGTATGTGTGTGTGTGTTTACATGTGTGTTTTCTCCAGCAGACAGACCTGTGTGCGTCCTGGCGTGCCGCTGCAGCTCGTCGCTGCGCGTGAAGCGTTTCCCACAGAACACCCAGTTGCAGACGAAGGGCCTTTCGCCGGTGTGCAGTCGGACGTGAGCTCTGAGCAGCGACGTTTTCCTGAACGTCTTCTCACAGCCGGCGATGTGGCAGATGTGCTTCCTCTTCCCCACCTCCCCGGGCCTGCAGTGTGAACACGCACAAACATAGTGAGGTGTACAGTCTGCATAGTACAACTGAGCATTCAAAAGTAACAACCAACAGCATTCGCTTTAGCTTTAAAATGGACTTAAACTGTATTTAAGAAGTCTCCGATTCTTCTGTTTGTTCAAGAATTTTGATTTTCAGAAGCACAAACAGTATCTACAAAATATTAGATTTGTATTCATTGTTATTTTCTGCCAACGCTAACGGCAACATCTTCTTATCCAACACTATTCACTAAAAAATAGGCTTTCATTTATTTATTACACAAGTTCTCAAAATGTCTAAGACAAGGTAACTAAATGAAAATCTTTCCAGTTGGTAATATTTCCTTACAGCCTTACAATTCTAAATCTGTTCTTGTCTCTTTACTGAATGCTTAAACCACAGCCAGGGAAACTTGGGTAATATTGGCACGTACTTGCCCAATCTCTTGACGCACTCACCTCTTGTCTGCGTCTTTACAATTGGGGCAGGTGCAGGCCATACGTCGCTTCTTTTCTCCTGGCTGGCCGGGCAGCTCCAGGGTGAGGGTCTGGTCTACCTGGATGGCCGGCTGGCCCTGCGTCGTTGCCAGCTGGAGCCCTCCGCCCTGCATCGTCTGGACCGTGAGGTGCTGCTGGCCTGACAAGCACACAGACAGACGCACTGTAAGAGACACAGCGGGGGCTACTGCCAGAGCGGTTCCTCTGAAAATCTAATTAGACTAGCAGCCTACTGAGTCAAAGTGGAGTGAAATTCTAATGAGTGATTAATGGTGACATTACCATAATGCAGACACATGAAAGCAAACAGTTGACAAGATGTTCTAAACAGAAGGACTTTTTATATCCAGGAGTTGATTAAGCGTCTGCTGTTTTTTCCATTTTTCAAACTGTTGACTGTTCTAAATATCCTGAATCGTTTAATCTTCATGGTGGATGTTTTCTGCTGACATTGCCCTCAGGCTGGGCAATCACTGAATATTATTATTAATCTACTTTCACTGAATCTGTACCCTGATTATAGATGACAAAATGTGTCTAATTAAATTCTTGCTCTCTCAATTGCTCATTAAAAAACAAGAAAATAGGTAATTAAAGCTTTATATTGATATTCTTCAAGAGCTACTTAAAACTAAATATATACTGTAGTTAAGTACATTTAGAGCATTCACCTATTGTGTTATTATTTACCTCTTTGTGATTAATGTGTCACTTGGCTGCTGCTGCAATTTCCTGACGGGATTAATAGAGTACTCTATCGATCTATGTATCTAATCCCACTTTTTTGAGTTGGTAAATTATACGTACAGTCTCTTTATCACACAATCAAATGCTTCTGGTCCCAGTCTATAGTTTTCTCTGCCAACATCCACTCACCCCCTGCGTTGGTGATGGTGACAGGAACTCCCTGAACTTGGACCCCGTTGATGCTGATCGTCTGCACCGCCTGAGCTGTTGAGGAGAGCTGCGGCGTGTTCAACGTTATCATTCCCCCCGCCGGAGCAATCTTTGCCAGAGTCCGTTCCTTCCGACCCCCCGCCAGCGTCCTCTTGGTGGCGGCCTGTGGCGAGGTGGTGGTGGTGACGACCGAAGTGGTGGGAGTCGTTGTCGTGGAGACCGAGTCCTGGACCTGAATAGACTGCCACTCACCCGATGCTGTTTTGAAGAGGATCTGAGGGAAGAAAATGTCAAACGGATGTCTGAAGTGTGATTTAAACGGGGCTGCACAGTGTGACTGCGGTTTGTGCTCATTTCCTGCTTTCACTCAAAGTTTTATATCACGGTCTGTTGAGAATGCATAAATAAAAAAACTGCTAATTCAACATACTTAAAGGTGTTTTTAACTGGTTATGAAACAGTCTCAATTTAATATTTATGACTCTATCTGACCTACATAAACAAAGAAGATTATCAACGAGAAGATTTATTTCTACACAGTTATTCTTAAAGCCACCAGCACAGACTGCAAACTAATGCTTTTGTCCGAAGGGGCAGCAACAAATGTAAACTTTCTCGTTGTTCCTGGCTAATTAGCTCTACACAGAAAGTACAGATGAGGCTGATGGGAATGTTATTAGTTTTGCAGGTATTTAGTCATAAACCAAAGCAAAGCAGAGATTAAAATGTTCACCAAAGTTATTAGAATTCATCCTGAGGGTGGAAATCATGTGTTTGTACCAAATGTTATGGCAATCCATCCAATAGCTGTTGAGACACTTCATTCATTCAACAACCTCATAGCTCTAAAAGAAAAATGAGGGGTTGTGAATGTACAAAATATTATGGAAATCCATCCAGTAGCTGCTGAGATATTTCACTTTGGACCCAACTGGTGGACCAACTGACCAACACTGCCAAGAGCCAAGTGGTCGCACTGAAGCTAAGGCACCGCTAGACGTGATTATATTACATGGAAGATTTTTATTACAATAGATAAAAGAGTGAATATAATATTTTAATGTAATTTTCCTGTAAAGCAACTTCGCTTAGCTGCTAGGAGAGTCTGTTGAAGAGATACCTGTGTCGGCGTTGGATCTGTTTGAGTGACCTGCAGGCTCGAGGGGACTGACTGTCTCTGTGGGACGGTCGGTAACGTGGCGGAGGCGGCCTGCACCACCTTCAAGGCCTGCTGTGGGATCTGAACCACCTGAGACTCCGGTTTGGACTGGACCAACTGGACCTGCTGCACCACAGCTGGCTGCCCAGGACTCTGTACGATCAGTAGGTTGTTACCCGCCTGCAAATACAGAGACAGGAGAGGTTACCTGTGGTGATCAGGTATCAGGAGGCTTTTAGCTTACATCTGGAGTGGTGTTACCATAAATGAGAGTGTGTTGGGGTCAAGGCTGCTGATGTACAAGAGGCCTGTGGGGAGGAAGTCAACCCTGTAATAGTTCAGCTGTGGGAGCATCTCTCTCCCCACAAGAACACTTAACACCACAAGTTAGTGGGCTCACTTTAAATCACACCTGCATTAATTGTTCTTTTGGCCACTTGAGGGCAGCAGAACAAGCTTTGAATTTTACTGATAATTAACACCATATATGTCAGTCCTTTACTTACTCTCTGCCTGCTGCCGCTGAGAGCAGGGAGAGTGAACTAACATAACAAAGTAAGACAGAGTTGGTAAAAAAGTTAAGTTTGGTTCGGTATAATAATCATTAATCCAAAGGGGCAAAAGTGATTCACATTGTGAAGATTACCTGCTTTTATAACACTGTAAACCCAACAACTTTGTGCTGTAGTTTGTGGACAAAACCAACAGTTTACTGTGATTTAAAAAAGTCGTTCAGTTGAAACACAATGTATTGGTTCCATCAACAGTTGGATGGATTCACATTCTCTCGCTGATAAGTTAACCTAGAGTTTAGACTCCATTGTATTATGAGTACTTTGTGTGTACTCTACGTGTTTCCAAGGTCAAGAATGAACCTTGTGTTTGCATAACGACAAAAGTGAACTACTGTATCTTGCCTCAGCTGTCACTGCAGCTCCAGAAACCTCACAGAGTTCAGTGCAAACATCTTAAGATTGTATGAGCCAGTGAAATATAACACAATGTGTGCATTCTGCTTGCAGCAGCAGCAGCAGCAGCCAGATGTTACCTGAATGATGTTGTCACCAGCTTCTATCAGGATGGTCTCCATCTGCTCGGGAGGTGGGGAGACAGCCTGTGGAGGAGGAGGCGGAGGCTGAGCAGCCAGGACCGCTTTCTTCTTCCTCCCTCGTCGTCCCTTTCCTGGAGTGGGAGGGGCAGCTGCTGTCTCTGTGATGATTTGAGTCCCGCCCACCTCTCCGGTCGCCACGTTGAGCGGCAGCGTGAGCCCGCCGGGTAGCTGCACCATGTTTGCAGCAGAGTTGTTTGGCTTGCGCAACTTGGGGGAGGGCTTGATGGCTACAGTCTTCTGTGGTGTGACCGGAGTGGCGGCGGCTGCCGGGGCCGGCATGGTCATGGGAGTGGTGATGATGGCCTGGTTGGTGCCTGGTATGAGTTGGATCTGACCTCCCTGTGGCATCACCTGGATGGTCTGAGCGCCCTGGATCTGAGGCACCATCTGGTACTGGATGTTGGCAGGGGCCGAGGTGTTGGTGCGGGCCGGGCTCTGTTGGATAGTGAGCACAATGGGACTGCCAGGGGCCGTGGAGCCCAGGCCTGCAGGGAGCTGGATCACATTGCCTTTGGCTGACAGGAAACTCAGGTTTTTGGGCGGAGCTGGGGCGATCGGAGCCGGCTTTATGGGGAGGAGCCTGCGAGGCTGCGGCTGCGCTGGAGGAGACGTGACAGGAGCCTGAGCAGCAGGAGGGCCAATTTTACTACAGGTGGCGGCCAAGAGGGCCAGAGGAGAGGGCTGGGTGTCCTGCAGAGACAAACACAGTCGATCACACACAGTCAGCACTAAAACCAGCCTGTGCAGAAACAGTTAACCACTAGGAGAGAGATAGGGCAAGATAGCGAGAGATAAGCATAAAATAAGCAAGTGACGCTAAACAAACTGGTTTCATAAATCATGAACAATGACAAACGTGTGGTGTAGTAGGCGAGAGCTTCTACCTGCAAAGCTTTTGTACATTTCTGTGAGATCAGCATAAGGAGGCATTCTGCATTAATGTCAGCTTCAGCTATTTTAAAACACTTTATATACACTGGGCCACTTAATGCACCTGGGGTAACACCTGGGTCTGCCTATTGTGACCAAGCTGGGTGGCACTGACGTAATCAATCAGGTATCGTAATACTTTAGACCAAACAATCTGATGTTGATGTACATCAAAGTACAATAATATGAGGAGATTTCAATGACTGTCTGTGCTTTACATTCATTATGAGAAAGTAGAACATTTCTTAAACCAGAAGCATCGAACAACCAAATGTAAGAATTATCACAATATTCGTAGCTCAAAGGTCGACTCATTAGCTTTTGTCCATCTTCAGATGAAGCTGCCGACAGCCATGAGATGCAGCTGAAAGTTCCAGAAGGCCAGTAAGTGGACCTTTGATTAAATCCCAGTTCTTCACAGGAGTTCATTAATCTCAAATGGGGCAATCAGTCGCTCAGTACAGAAGAATAAATCTGCCTACAGTGTGGAGCGACATGAATGCATCACGGGTTAATACAGGTAACGATGTCAGGAGAGCGCCATGGTGCAACCGGGAAGCAGAGAGTGACTTCTGGCTGTTACTCACTTGTGTGGAAGCAGTGGAGGGCTGAAGATATTCACTGGGACTGACAGCAACAGTGGTGGCCATACTGTCCTGTTGTTCTGGAAAACACACAGACACAGCAGAGTCAGAGTCAGGGCTGCCTGTGGGCATCTATTTTCAGTGGTTAGGTCTGTTCAAGGACATCACACGACATTCCTACGAAACAGAAACAGATCTAAGAAAGAGAGGCTCTGTAAACGTCTCGCTGTAATCACCACATGATCTTTAAACACCAGCAGTTACACAAATGAAGTCATAAATTACTCTTATTTTTCATTACAGTCCCAGAGTAAACTAAACTTTCATACACATACAGTTTGAAATTGGTTCTGTTATCGTGGCTTCTTGAAAGTTTTATCCTTTCACTTTCAAGACGATTTATTTAATTAACTCAGGTTCAACAATTACAATGCAACAATAACTGCCAATAACAAAAAAGGGGAAGTAACTAACTATCTTATAAGGCTGCACAATTACTTGAAATAGTATTGACATTGTCCTTTTCTCTATATGTAAGAAATCGTGTGTTTGTTTACAGACACCAACATATGTCACTTTATCATGATTTCAAAGTAAATTATGATGCAAAAATTATCATTCTCACCAATTGTGAATCATATTACATTCATTTTTAGATCTTTTATGTGTACCGAGTAATGATCTCAAGACTGCAACCAACCAAAAGGCTGTTACACACTGCTCCTTTAAGAAGCTGAAAACAGCTATTGTTTGGCATTACTTCATAACAAAAACAAGTTAAATCATTCATTATATTATATTTATATTATATTCAGGACAACATTTTCAACACATTTTCACAACAAGTGCAGCATTCAGATCTTCTGCAAAAAACTCAACCTTTTCACAAAACACTTAGTAAGCTGGTTTTCATAAAGTT